CCGGACCTCTCTTCTTCCTTCCTCCGTTGGTAAGCGTCTTCTCTGTTCTCCTTTCGATAACATCCATTTCTTCTATTCTGTCTATCGGAGAACACTGTTAGAGCTGGAATTAGGGATTTAGTGTTTCTATTGCGCGAGAGATTGACGAAGATGAGTCAATTGAAACTGAGAAATTTTCCTGCAGGTATTTTGTTTGTATATCACTGGAAATCTCGAGGAGATATTCGATGCGGAACATCGCAAAGAGATGATTCGACATGTCTATTGCCATCAGGTACCCTCATTTGATAAAATTTCTTAGCTCAGATCTTAAAAGAAGAGCCTCGAATTGAGCTTTGTTCCTTAATTTTCAGAACGAAGATGGTGGATGGGGATTACACATTGAGAGCAAGAGCATTATGTTCTGCACCGTGTTGAACTACGTATGCTTGCGTATTCTCGGAGAAGGTCCCAACGGAGGACGAGACAACGCTTGTAAACGCGCCAGGCAGTGGATTCTTGACCGTGGTGGCGTCACTTATATCCCGTCTTGGGGTAAAATTTGGCTATCGGTAAAAACTCTCGGCACCATATGCTACTAATGATAACTGAGAAAGCTTACGTGATTATAATCAGAGTTGATTTGTGTTCTTTGTAGATACTCGGTGTATATGATTGGGCTGGAACAAATCCGATGCCTCCAGAGATCTGGTTGCTACCTTCTTTTGTTCCAGTACACTTAGGTTTGTTTTCTGATTCAGTTTTTACTAAATGGCTCAGCTTGAAATTGTTATTTCCGTTTGTTGATTTTCTTGCTGTTGATGTTACAGCCAACGCTTTGTGCTATTGCCGGATGGTTTACATGCCTATGTCGTATCTATATGGGAAGAGGTTTGTTGGTCCAATAACACCTCTTATTCTGAAACTGCGTGATGAACTCCATTTGCAACCTTACGAATCAATCAACTGGAATAAAACAAGGCGTCTATACGCAAAGGTATGATTTGACCGTTTTTCAATCTTTAGATTTCTGTGTCGTGATAGCGTTAACATTCCATTGTTGTTTATGCAGGAAGACATGTATTTCCCTCATCCTTTGGTTCAAGATTTGATATGGGACGCTCTTTACCTCTTTGTGGAGCCGTTCCTCACCCGTTGGCCGTTGAACAAGTATGTGAGAGAGAGAGCTCTTCGGCTGGCAATGAAACATATACATTACGAAGACGAGAATAGCCATTATATCACCATCGGATGTGTTGAGAAGGTAAAACATTGAGTGTCCCTTTATAAACATAGCCATATAGTAGTTTGAACTCCAGGCTGAGCCATTTTTCTGAAGGTATTGTGCATGCTTGCCTGTTGGATTGAAAACCCGAATGGGGACGACTTCAAGAAGCATCTTGCTAGAATTCCGGATTACATGTGGGTCGCAGAAGATGGATTGAAAATGCAGGTAATTAAAGAATTGAAGATCGGATTTTTAATTAGGTAGACTCTATAGCAATGGAAACTTAAAAATTCTATAATTATACAGAGCTTTGGAAGTCAACTATGGGATACAGGGTTTGCGGTTCAAGCTATACATGCTAGTAATCTCTTGGATGAAACTGGCGATGTACTGAAGAAAGGACATGATTATATCAAGAAGTCTCAGGTTTTGATACCCTTTTCATTAGCTTGAATTGCATTAAAGAAGAGTTGAATGTGTTTTCCTAAGTCAAAGAGCTTTTGCAGGTTAGAGAAAACCCTTCTGGTGACTTTAAGAGCATGTACCGCCATATTTCCAAAGGAGCATGGACTTTATCTGATCGAGATCATGGATGGCAAGTTTCTGATTGTACGGCTGAAGCTTTTAAGGTAATTAAACCAAAACAAGTTAGCTGGAATTTTCCACAAGAGTTATGCCTGAAAGTACTTATTTGGTTTTGTAGTGTTGCTTGCTGCTCTCCATGATGCCAGCTGAGGTTGTTGGCCAGAAGATGGATCCCGAACAACTATACGATTCTGTTAATCTATTGCTATCTTTTCAGGTAAGATTGAATCAATAAGCCAAGTGTCCTCAAAGATTATTGGCCCTTAATAACATTTACAACTATGGCTTCTTTTAATGTAGAGTGAGAATGGAGGTGTGACTGCATGGGAGCCTGTCCGTGCATATCCATGGATTGAAGTAAGTGCTGAAAGCCTGAAACACATAAAGATGTCCACAAGTTCTTAGGAAAATAGTCTCTAATGTTTTAACTTTTGTAAAATGGTGTTCCAGGTGCTCAATCCCACTGAGTTTCTAGCTAATCTTGTGGCCGAGCGTGAATACGTGGAATGCACCTCATCTGTTATACAAGCTTTGGTTCTGTTCAAGCAACTGTATCCAGATCACAGGACAAAAGAGATCAGCAAATCCATCGAGAAAGCAGTGCAATTCTTAGAAAACGAACAAACGCCAGAAGGGTCATGGTATGGTAACTTTTAACACAGTTCTTATATATGTTAAAACGAATATGGTTCAGAAGAAACCTAACAAAATCTCGAGTCATGATAGGTATGGGAATTGGGGTGTTTGTTTCATCTACGCCACGTGGTTTGCTCTTAGCGGCTTAGCAGCCGCTGGTAAAACATATGAAAACAGTTTGGCTATGCGTAAAGGTGTTGAGTTTTTGCTCACGACGCAGAAAGATGATGGAGGTTGGGGTGAAAGCTATCTCTCATGCCCTGAACAGGTACCTGTGCATCTAAAGTACATGAATTTCAACTAAATTATCGAACAAGTGTTTGATCTTTTATAACATGTTGTTGTGTATGTTAGAGATACATACCGACAGAAGGGCAAAATACTAACCTGGTGCAAACGGCTTGGGCAATGATGGGTCTGATTCACTCTGGACAGGTTCAATTACTTCATCTTGTTACATTTTTTTTTTCCATAAGTGTAACGAAAGATTCTTAGTTTTGTTTTTCTGTTGATATGTTAGGCTGAGAGGGATCCAATACCTCTTCACCGTGCTGCGAAACTTATCATCAATTCGCAGATGGACAGTGGAGATTTCCCTCAACAGGTAAAGACATCCTCTTTGATTAGAAACATGAGTCTTGGGGTTAAAATGATTCATTTTCTTGCATTTTTATTCTAGTATGGATCGATTTGGAATAATGTTGAATTTTTATTGCAAATGCAGGAAATAGTAGGAGTGTTCATGAGGAATTGCATGATACACTATGCTACCTACAGAAACACTTTCCCATTATGGGCTCTTTCTGAGTATCGTAAAGCTGCCTTCGCAACTCATCATCAACAACTATAGCTTTGAAGATTCACGTTCCACATATAAGATGATGATACCTGTCTCACTCCTCACATCTCTACGGCTCACACAAGTCATTTCTGATTAGCCGTACCAATTATCATATTACGCCATAAGAAAATCTATGGATAAAACTGCCAGTTGGCTATGTCTAACAATTAAAAACTACTTATTAGCAAAGATTATGGTGTCTATTTAAACAATTTCTCTTTTCTCAATTCTCTTACATAAAACTAAATGATTAGACTAATAATCTTGATTCACACGGTTGCTCGAGCTGGTCGGTTAGATGAAACTGAGCGAGTTTTCAGAGAAACGGACTGGTAAAACATTTGTTGTACTTTGATTAATTATAATCGAGACATTTTCACTAAAAATTGGGCCTAAGCTGGTTTAATTGATTTTTTTTTTTGGTGGGTGACAGGTTTAATTGATAATCTTGTTGAAAAACCATTTTGTTTTACTTTGATTCGTTAAAATGCTTATGATGAGTTGACTAAACAAGAGCTACGTTTGACTTTTAACAAGGAAAGGAGATTGTTACGTTGGTCTGAAGTTCCTAGAAACCTGAAATATAAGAAGCCCACAACAAACTTACCAAATCAATTGTTTCATTCGTCTACTCATCGAGTTGCATTTGAAAGATAGTGTACCAATACTAAATCGTCGGGGTGAGAGTCAATGCGATACGTACGTCGTGTCACAAACCGCTGCCAAGATACCCTGAGCCTATAGGTCCTAGCTCTCCCTCCTGTATAACAGATGTTTTATTAACCAAAACCAAGAAAGAAAGAAAAAAGCAGAATTTACTTATAAGAACAACTAGTGTTACCTCATCATCATTGATGGTGAATTACACGAGATCCCTTTGCTGATCCCAAATGTGGTAATCGGGGATGCTACGCCTTTGCAAGAGGTATAACCCTCTAAATGGACAACCAAGGCGTGGTGCTGTGGTAATCGGAAGCATGTGGTAGCACGTCAATAGCACGGAAAAAGAAAATATTTCAAACAATTTTGTTATATCCATTAAGAAAAAAGAAAAAAAAAATACATATTCCCATTACGGAAAGGAAAAAAACAAATATAGAATAAGTTATAATCTTCATGATTTAATTGTTTGTTTCTTTATTTTGTTTAAACTTCTCTATCATTAATAAATAAATAAGTCATGTCTTTGAAAGTTCAAAATATCAAGAATAGTATTTAACTCCAAATCAGTTGAGTCGAAATTAAAATTATTATCGTTAAATGTGTCTAATATTTGATCAGCTGATAACATGTGTTAACACACACAAAAAACTAGAAAAATGTAATAATAGAAATAAAAAAAAATAAGAAAATAATTGTAAGACAATTAGCTAATAATGGAAAAAAAATTATAATGGTCTGAGACAAAAACAAAATCGAAAAAGAAATAATATAAATAGAAAAATAACAAAATAATTACCAAGCAACTAACTAATATTAAATATAAATTTTAATAATGGACCAATATTATTATTTTCAAATTTTTGTTAGCTAAATCATTATTAAAAAAAATTATCATGAATTCAAAAATAAATGTCAACTAAAAACAGGGTAAAAAGATGAAACAAGCACAACAGACAGTGTAACAGCTGAAACTGAAACCAATATAGACCCAATTCAGGTAAGACTATACAATACAAACATTCTCAGATTGAGGAACTGTCATCTGAATAAGAAAAGAAACCAGAAGAGCTACACCAAATATGAAGACATAATGTTCCAGCTGATCTTCATATGGCTAGGCATTGAAGCTACAAACCGCAAGGGATCCGGCTTGCTGATGATTCCTGGGTGAAGCGGATCTGTTTCCTGTTTGTTCAAGACATGGAGAAACTTGGCAATGTTTGGAAGTACCATCTCTCGGCAATGCAGATGCAACAAAGGAACTTTGGATAAGGTGGATCGAATGCTCACGCGTTTAACATGTTCGTTCACGGTTGGTGTAAGGCTAATAGAGTCGAGGAAGCTCTTTGGACGATCCAAGAGATGAAAGGCCATGGCCTTGGTCCTTATGTGGTCAGCTACACGACGGTTATTAGGTGTTAATGCCAGCAGTCTAACTTCATCAAGGTCTATGAGGTTCTTAGTGAGATGGAAGCTAATGGCCTCCGGATTCTGTTATAATGTCTTCTCTCAATGCAGAGAAGGAGTTTGAGGAGTCTTTAAGGGTTGCTACGAGGGTGAGAAGGTCCGGTTGTAAACTGGATCCTCTTTTCTACAACTGTTGGGGGATTCAATGTTAGATTTTAGGGTTTTGGATTTATATTTTAGGGTTTAGAGTTCTTTTAATCAATGAAAAAAATGTAGTTTTGAAAATTTGCACCTCAAGAGTTTATTTCATAAAATTTCTCTAAAGTGTAACACTGCAGAACTGCCTTATTCAGTAAAGTATTATTACATTGGCAAAATAAACACACACAAACAAGATTTTAGCAAATAATCAGTCATTTCGTTATCTCCTCGTGTTTTCATTTCGAGAAAACTTAATGATTTTCTCTCGTCTTTGTCTAATCTTCTTATTATTAACTCTAGAAATCATAATCGTCATGGGCTCGATATGACGACGAAAGATCATCTTTAAGTTTCATACTTGACCGTTGGACCATCCGTACAAGTCCTTCCACAACTTCCGACATCGGTGGTCGGAACTCGGGCTCCACCTGAACACATGATGCGATAATGTCGGCGAATCTTGACAATGACTTTGGTTCGTAGAGGCCATGCAAAGCTGGATCTGCTATATTCGACAACGCCTCTATGTCGTGAAGCTGCGGTGTTGCCCACCGCACCAATGATCTCTCCGGCCTTGGCTTCTCTCTGTTTCCATCACAAGTCCACACAAACCCAATTTTAAAAAATTAAAAAATGGTAAAAAGGTCTTAAATATAAAAAAAGCTCATAGTCTGAAATTTGAGATTCGATTGAAGTTAAAATGGAACTGACCCGTCAAATGGAACTCGACCGGTTAGAAGCTCTAACATGACGACGCCGAAGCTGTAGACATCACTCTTTGATGTATACGCATCAGGGTTGTTGGCTTCTGGTGCATTGTATCCTTCTCCTAGGTTTTGACTCGTTCTCTGTCACACCATATGTATAATTAGTTGTTATATTTCAATTCTCATAAACTCAATCCATATAATGAATGCATATGCTCACAAGATAGAATTTTGAGAGGCCGTAATCTGAGAGACGAGGGTTGAGATCTGCGTCTAGCAAAATGTTAGAGGACTTGATGTTCTTATGCATCAGAGGCGGTGAACATGCTTCGTGCAGATACTCGATGGCTCGAGCGGATCCTAAGGCGATTCTGACTCTTGTGTTCCAAGTCAAAGGTTTACTGAAACAGTCTGATAAATGAAGGAACTCATGGAGTGAACCGTTCCTGAAGTAATCGTAGATTAACATGTTGTGACCTAACTCTGAGCAATAACCTACGAGCTCTGCTATGTTCTGATGCCTAATCTTCGAAACGCTCATTACAATCGGTGTTATTCCTTCTGATTTACCCGAATCAAACAACGTCGAATCGATCTTCTTAACCGCCAAAGTCTGAATAAAAAAAACAAAATTTGTGGATTAGTTTATGACTGTCTTGTTACTTGTGAAACACGTTAGATAAGAGACTTACGCGTCCATCGGGATACTTGGCTCTGTAAACACGTCCGATTGATCCTTCGCCGAGTAGATTTCCAGGTGCGAAGTTGGCTGTTGCGTTTTGAAGATCAGAGAGTTCGAATTCCACAGCGGAACGTGTTGAATTGGATCGTTTTGCGTTGAGCCGGTTCGCGAATTCGGTATCGTTGAATGACATCACACGCGACGACACCGAATGCTTTAGTCCCTTTGCTCCAATCCCATGCGTATGGTCATCATCTGAATCTCCTGCAATATATACAAGCTCCTTTTGGTCAGATACTTGCGAAACAAGTTAGGTCGAGAATATATGTCTCATATACCTTTGTAATCGTTTCCGAAATCGATGCGAAGCTCTTGAGCAGATCCATGAGAGGCTAGAGATTTTAACTTTGGAGTGTGTTGACTGTAGTCTTCATCGATGAAATGAGGATTTAGAGATGACTTTTTCTTAGATACAAGACCGATTAAAACCGCTATTAGCAGAAGAACCCCTACGCTTGCTACGGCGATCATCACTCCGTTCACGGAGGTCATACCTCCTCCGCCGTTGGAACCGGATTTTCTACCGTATTTAACACCCGGTGGTGGCGGTGGAGCAGTTTCAGTTGACCAGTCGTTTCCTCCAGTCCTTTAACAGCAGAATCAATCACAAAACAGAGTAAAACAGGGGAAATTCTAAAATATGCTCTGTTTTTTTTTTAATGTTGAAACTGTTTCTTGTGTGAAAAGTAATCTTTTGTTTCACTTACAGTAAACTGTCTATTTCCTTAAGCTCATTAGGTATCCATCCTTCAAACTGGTTGTCTTCTACGTTCCTGTGATCAGGTAAGAAGAAAACGGAATGCTTTTGAGTTTTCGGAATTTGGACGAAACCTAATTGGAGTTTTTAAGCTTACAAGTCATCAATGGCAAGGTTTCTGAGAACGTTTATGTCGCCTGTGAATCGATTTTCCTGCACGTGTCTTGCGTAATAACACGAAAAACAAAACCCAATTTAGCATTTGTAAAAGAAAATGTCCAAACAAGATATTGGTTCTTGTTCCTTACAGTTTTTTCAGGCTTGTGAGATTGGCGAAACTCTGAGGTAATTTCCCAGAGAGTTTATTAATCGATAAGTCCCTATATATACACAAAATATGGGTTGTGTTAGGTCTCAAATTTAATGATTTTATTGAACATGTTGCGTTAGAAAATATAACTAAAGGAATTGTACCTACAGAGTTTCGAGTTTGGACAGTTTCTGAAACATGTCTGATAATTCTCCATTGAGCTTGTTACGTCCAAGATTACTGCATTTCAATATATATAAATTAATAATTCTCTTAAACCCTAGTTAACAACAGAGAAATGTAGTATGGTTTCACTCACATGGTTTCGAGACGATTCATTTGAGATAGCGAGTAGGGTACATTTCCATCGAGTTCGTTCTCAGAAAAGTCTCTGTGTTAAGGTCAAGATTATGATTCATTTCTTGGGTGACGAGTAGTTGAAGATTTATAAATGTACAAACTTACAGAAAGGAAATGTTGGGTGGGAGTTGGTAAGGTATATTTCCTTTGAGATTGTTTTTGCTGAGATCACTGTACTATCACCAGATATAAAACCAAAACACGTTATCTTCTGAAATTTAGTCTAAGTAATCTAAAAGAGGTTATTAAATGAGGATTCTCACAAAGTTGTGAGAGATTTGAGGTTTGTTAATAGATAACCCAGCGTTCCACTTAGTTCATATCCTGATAACTGCCTGGCCAAAGTAAAAAAAAAAAAAAAAAAAAAGAAATCAGAAGATAACTTATGATGCAAGTAAGTTTTGAAATTAGGGGGAGGGAATGAATACAATTCGGTAACCGAAGAGCCTTTGCATTTGACTCCTTCCCAAGAACCGTCGCAGGGATCACCTCCGCTAGATTTCCAGCCTTTGAGTTTCGATGGCGAGTTTAAGCTCGTGAACATCACATTCAACGCAGAGACTACAAAACACAACATTTCTGATTAATTTCTAGATCGGTTTAATTTAGTCACCTAAGAACGTGAGATAAAATTTATGTATTTACCTTCTTGGTTATCGGTTTTTGCTTGAACTAAAGTGAGAATGATAGGGAGAGAAGCTACCAAGAGCTGTATGAGCTTCTGCGTCATCTTTTATTTGCAAAAAATGATAGAAAAAGGGAATAAAGGGTTAGGGTTACGTTCCCAGGTTTTCTTCATAGACAAGACGACGAGGGTTTGAAAGAATGTACCATTATGATTGGTTTTAGGGAATTACATACATTTTTGATGTTTGGTTCATGGACAAGAAATCAAAATTCATAGCCATTAACTTTTGTTAAACAAATGTTTACTAATTTTGATATATTTTAGATATTTGAGGGAGAACGAAAGCTGCGGAATAACGGTGAATATGTGTGTGTGTGTCCGCTTAATAAATTAACCAATCATTTAGAATTCTGTTTGTTTGTACTCTTTTATGGCCCAGATACAGACCCATTCTTACCTCATAAATCGAGAGTAACATGTGTAGATAGATACTTAGAACTTTTGTTGGCAGTCTAATATACAAGATATTTTTGATTCCTGAAATACTATGAACGAGAACCCAACAGTTTCGAAATTTAAGTACATAATTATCAGTCGTGCAATAATAAATGTTAGAAAGGACAATTAGTTGTTATGCGTAACATGACTTTGAGTCGATCTTTGAAAACCATAATCACAAGTAATCTTCCCCAACGACATTATTTTTTAAGAACGTAATTCTAATCTTCCCCAACGACATTATTAACTATTTAGTCACACTTTTTTTTTTTATCTTACAACACAAAATTCTTCCAAGTCGACAAGCAGCCTTACAGTTTAACAATGGAAACAATGGACTATATATCGTAATTATTAGTTATTGACAAGGGAAAATTAGTATCTTATTGTCGAGACATATGCGACAAACGACTTGTTATTATAGTGTCTTTGTTTTATGAACCTTTGGAAAAAGATGTGTATAGTATATAGTACTAATTAAAGTGATTAGTGACAAACGCAGTGAACGCGTCACCATTTATCAAGCATTAGTATATACTATACAGAGAAAAGATGCAATATATTACTCCAGTAAAATAATCTATTTAATTAACATTCGTAAGGATAGGTCTAGGTTTTGTAGTTAATCTGTTTCATGATTTTTTTTTTTGTTGACTAAAATACAACCACTAGGAAGATGAACAACCAATTATTGGTTAATTAAATCTATAAATAGCTATTAGTGTTACCAGTTACAGTCAGAGTAGTCTTGACTAAACCCTAAATGGTACAACTACACAAGAACCAAGCTGCCAGTTAGCTAGTAACATCTATACACTCAATATTATATATCAACTACATCACAGTATCACACACAACTTTTTAAGTTTTAAGTTATCAGTTCTTGATATTTATATTTATGATTTCTTTTAAAAAAATACATACAGTAACTGGATTTCAACATATTACATATTAACATTAATATCCAACAAAACAAAAAAAAACTGTATATGTAATTGCAATTGGTTTCCGATAATACATGTTGGTTTTCAGGCTTTCAACATATTATATACTAACATTAATATCCAACAAAACAATATATTGCAATTGGTTTCCGATTATACATGTTGTGGACATAATAGAGTGATTAAGTAATGAACAAATATTAGATTGAGAAACATTAAAGGACTTCAACTGCACACAAAAGGGATTATAATTTGATTCATATCTTGACAGATAGTACAATATACGATTGCAACATCTCATAAATGGTACTATATACAAGAATTCAAATACAAAGACACAAGGCAAACACAATATCACATATGAGTTATGAAATATGAAACTAAACACACAAATCAACCTTAATTGATAAACGCATTAACCAACATATTGGTTTTTTAAATCTTGAGATAATTACTGTCAATGGGTGTAAACACATGAGAAGCCTCTTCCTCAATGAACTTCAACTGTCCTTTCGTAAGGTGCAAGTAAACCATCCAGTCTCCGTCGTCCACTGGGCTCGGCATCGGCATCACATATCCGGCGCTGCCTCCCCATGGGAAATGGTAAGATCCGAACACCGGCGAGCCCCACCCAAAATCCACTCGGGTCACAGGAAAACTCCTCCCGGAGGAAACCACAAACGCGGGTCCGTCGTCGGATCCGGTGCTGTAGATTCTTGAAATGGCAGGTGTTGGACGGAGAGTCTCAACCCAATCGATCAGTTTCAAGAAATGTTCTTTGGTCACCGAACTCTTCAAGAATCTGTGAACCTCTTCAGCCACCCAAGACAGTGGCTTGTTAACCAAGTCATCGATTCTCTGCCCTCCAAATGGGATCGAGAGAACGTTTCCGAAGTAATTACTGTTCTCTTTCTCCATAAGTCTCTTCCTTCCGTCCACAACAATCCCAAGTTTCGAGTTCTTGCTCGGAAATGGATCTTTTGCTGCGTGTTCTGCCACAAGTTTCCATAGAAACGCGCTAAACGACTCGAGTTTCGTCCTTTTGACCTTAGTCTCTGAGCCGCTGGCTAGTGTTTGGAGCTCTTCTAATGCATCCGCTTTGATGTAATAGATGCGGCTTGCGAGGATGTTTTCAGGATTGGTGGTTTCTTGCGGAGGGGGCAAAGACATAACAGGCATATACATCTTGTCTATAGATGAATCCATGATCAAGGGTCGTCTTGGGTTTAGCAGAGATCTTCGGAACGATGGTACACAAGAGATCGGTACATCGGAACGAGAGATCTCAGCCCAAGATATAAGGAACATGTTCATGGAATAAGCATCCGCTACACGATGATCAAATGTGCATCCCACAACTATGCTCCCACATTTCAGTTGAGTCACCTGTTCAAGATACAAACATGAAGAGTTAGGTTGTTGTGTAGTGAAGTGTTTTGTTGACGTAAGATGATGTTAACTTTTACCTGAATCGCTATGACTCCATGTTTCTTGATGGGAACGAGCTTGGCAATACTTTCATCAGGATCATAGAGATTAAGCTCTCGGAGGTCCACGTCAGCACCGGCCTCCACGAAATCTACGCCTCGATTGTTGCAGAGGATCTCGGGTTCTCCGGTGGGATTAGTGACGATCTCACCGGCAAAGGCGTAGTAGGAGACGAGAGTCTCCGCTAAAGACGTCTTGAGGGTTTCATGAGCCAGTGAATTAGTGGTGTTACGTGGTTTCTTGTAACAGAAGCAAACGCTGACGTGGACAGGAGGAAGAAGGAGGTCGAGGTTGGAGAGAGGGAGCCAGTGGTCCTGGAGGGGGAGAGCCGCCGTGATGACTTGCTTCCTAGCGGTGGTCACGTGGAAGCCACATGCTTGCTCCGGCGCCGCTTCTCCCATAATAATTGGTTTGTTGTTTTCGGAGAGAATGAAGAAAGTTGTGTGGTGTGGGTTGTTGGAAGATGCTGTGAAGAAGAGAGTTTACTTATAACCAAAGTGTAGGAGCGACTTAGGTGAAACTTTTCAACATGTCGCTGAATTATATATTCGAAAAAGCCAAATAAAATATTATTTCAACTTTTTCAAAATTTCAAAAAACTTGTATGTGTTATTAGCCTATGTTTGGATCTTACCATTTCAAACATGGGAGAAGAGTGTAAGAGTTACCAAGAGTGTTACTAGCCCATGTTTGGATCTTACCATTTATAAACCATTTTTAATTGTAAAGGAGTATTTACGAAAGTCAAATAAGATATTATTTTAACTTTTTCAAAATTTCAAAAAACTCGTAGGTGTTAGCCCACAAATTCTGAGAAAACTGATTCATTTTGAGGTTTTTGTAAACTAATGAATGGGATGTGTCTAAAGTGAAATTAAATTGATCCAACCATTTTTCATTGTAAAAGAGTGTCTAAGAAAGCCAAATAAAAAATAATTTCAACTTTTTCAAAATTTCGAAAAACTCGTAGGTGTTAGCCCACAAATTCTGAGAAAATGATGCATTTTGAGATTTTGTAAATTAATGAATGAGATATGTCTAAAGTGAAATTAAATTGATCCAACCATTTTTCATTGTAAAGGAGTGTCTAAGAAAGCCAAATAAAATATGATTTCAACTTTTTCAAAATTTTGAAAAACTCATAGGTGTTAGCCCACAAATTCTGAGAAAATTGATGTATTTTGAGGTTTTTGTAAATTAATAAATGGGATGTGTCTAAAATGAAATTTTATTGATCCAACCATTTTTTATTGTAAAATAGTGTCTAAGAAAGCCAAACAAAATATTATTTCAACTTTTTCAAAATTTCGAAAAACTCGAAGGTGTTAACCCACAAATTCTGAGAAAATTAATGTATTTTGAGGTTTTTGTAAATTAATGAAAGGGATGTGTCTAAAGTGAAATTTAATTAATCTAACCATTTTTCATTGTAAAATAGTGTCTAAGAAGCCAAACAAAATATGATTTCAACTTTTTCAAAATTTTGAAAAACTCGTAGGTGTTAACCTACAAATTCTGAGAAAATTAATGCATTTTGAGGTTTTTGTAAATTAATGAATGGGATGTGTCTAAAGTGAAATTTTATTGATCCAACCATTTTTTATTGTAAAATAGCGTCTAAGAAAGCCAAACAAAATATTATTTTAACTTTTTCAAAATTTCGAAAAACTCGTAGGTGTTAGCCTACAAATTCTGAGAAAATTGATGCATTTTGAGGTTTTTGTAAATTAATGAATGGGATGTGTTTAAAGTGAAATTTTATTGATCCAACTATTTTTCATTGTAAAATAGTGTCTAAGAAAGCCAAACAAAATATTATTTCAACTTTTTCAAAATTTCGAAAAACTCGTAGGTGGTTAAGCCCACAAATTCTGAGAAAATTGATGCATTTTGAGGTTTTTGTAAATTAATGAATGGGATGTGTCTAAAGTAAAATTTTATTGATCCAACCATTTTTCATTGTAAAAGAGTCTAAGAAAGCCAAACAAAATATTATTTTAACTTTTTCAAAATTTCGGAAAACTCGTAGGTGTTAGCCCACAAATTCTGAGAAAATTGATGCATTTTGAGGTTTTTGTAAATTAATGAATGGGATGTGTCTAAAGTGAAATTAAATTGATCCAACTATTTTTCATTGTAAAAGAGTGTCTAAAAAAGCCAAACAAAATATTATTTCAACTTTTTCGAAATTTCGAAAAATTCGTAGGTGTTAGCCTACAAATTCTGAGAAAATTGATGCATTTTGAGGTTTTTTGTAAATTAATGAATGGGATGTGTCTAAAGTGAAATTAAATTGATCCAACTATTTTTCATTGTAAAAGAGTGTCTAAGAAAGCCAAACAAAATATTATTTCAACTTTTTCAAAATTTCGAAAAATTCATAGGTGTTAGCCCACAAATTCTGAGAAAATTGATGTATTTTGAGGTTTTTGTATATTAATGAATGGGATGTGTCTAAAGTAAAATTAAATTGATCCAATTATTTTTCATTGTAAAAGAGTGTATAAGAAAGCCAAACAAAATATTATATTAATTAAATTTCTTTAAACTCGTAGGTTATCACCCATTAAGCTTGAAATTACTAACGAGAACACAAAAAGTGAGATTACCCATGTGTTCTGCCTTTGAAGTAACGTATTTGCCTTTGTAGTAATGTATTTAACGTTTAAAATTTGAGATTATAACTCTTTTTAATTCAACTAATCTTTTTTTAACAAAATCTCATTTGCTTTTCTTCTCTGTTTCTTCTGCATCCTTTTTTTGAAATCTTGTTCTTCCTTTTCTTTTTTGGTTCCCTTTCAAGGTCCATAGTCACCATCTCCGATCAAATTGCAAATATCTGAGCATTCCACTAAGCTACACAAAAGACAAAAAAAACAAGAATCAGCTCTTCTTGTTGAGATTCCTGCTAAAGCAACAACCTACTTTAATCATAAACCATCTTTACCAGTAATTACGGCTTCGAAATCCTTGCTTGAATACCACTAATGGCCTTTCAAATACAATCAACAAAGAGAAAACGATCAGCAACGAAGAGTGAGAGAGTGTGTTGGCTTCTCTCATAAGCTCAATAAGATAGAGAGAGAGAAACCTTCTGATATTGATCGGTCCTTCTCCGTCTCCGCTGCGAATACAAGTGTTGACGCATTTAACTGTGCATCTCTCTGCGTTCTTGGATTTGGGTCGTTGTATCCTCTGTTTCTTACAGTCATCGCCTGATAGCGTTTGCGGCACGTTAGATAGCGTTTCGCCGTCTTGCGGCGGAGGAGGAAGCTCTGCATAAGCTACGGATACGGAAGCCATCATAACCGCAGCCGCTATGGTCCCAATCGCCGCCGTGGATATACGTACAGCCGCCGATCTAGTCACCAAGCGGCTCTGACACACAAATCTGCCTCTATTGTTCAAGAACTTTGCGCAGTGGAGACAAGGAGATGGAGAATGTATTATCATTACTTTACTGGTTTTGAAATTTTCTTTGCTTTCTCATCAGATTCTCTCGAGAAAATTATCATTAAGCTTGTGGTTCTTGTTCCAGATTCTTATCTTTAGACACGTGTCAGTATCTGGTGGCTTAGAAACTAGATACTTCTTACAATGACATAGTTGTCACTCTTCAAAAGCAAAATGTAATCCAGGAACTAAATTATTGAAGTAAATAAAAGTGTGGTGAATACAATTTCATTACAGTGGAAGAGAACCCTAGACGAATCACTTTCTATCTTTCTTACTTTACTTGCAAGGAACAAGTTAACGTACTGTATATGTTACACTCTTTGCCATTTCCCAAATCAGAAATTGGCAATTTACAAAGATACAATAAATTAACAAAAAAGTGGGAAATAAAAACAAGTGAGCAAGTGTGTGTGCGTGTGTAATATGTATAGAATCAAAAGATAACCCCAACCAAACCCACATAAAATCTACTGACCTTGAAACTCAAGACTCTCATCTCTGAAGAAGACAGACTTTGCTCTTCCTTCTTCTTCTTTGACACCCAGCAAACTGAAAGATCTTCTTGGTCGCATGTCATTTACGAATCTAAAGTTAAATTCACCATTAGTCTCTAACTAGCAGGCCTTCTTCTTCTTCCAAAGGAGAATGATCAAGTTGGAGCTCAGTGAAATTTGCCTCTGTATCTTCTTGGTCCCTTTGCGAAAAAGGAACTTTTGATGTTGAAACTTTCAAAATGTACAAGTTTTGATTTAACCTGAGCTTCCAGCAACTTCTGCAGCTCTTTGTCTCATCATTTCCATCACAGCTGCTCTTCGCCGTGAGTCTGATTGCTGCTGTAATCTTCTCAGATGCTCCTTCAGGTCTCTGAATACATAGAGAGGACTGATCATCAACACAAATTCATATGGACCAAACTAGTGTTTGATGATTTTAAAATGTAAAGGTTGTCAATGTATTTCAAGATTCATCATGGAATTTGTTTATTACCTGCAACGAGGTACATGGCACTCGGTTTCCTTGCAGGCCCGAGCGTGGAGTTGCAGAAGATACCACATTTTCTTGCACAGAACACAACCTCCCGAAGCACGTACTTTGCACTGTATACCATGTCGGAATAGTCCCTTCACTTTCCGGCAATTTGGATATTGACAATTTGCCGAACGGCATTGTGATGCATGCACCAGAAGATCGAGCATCTTCCTCAGCTGCAAATCCAAAAGAGGAGGAGAAGAAAAAAAGAATGTTACCATTTGCAATAGAAACTTCAGGATCAAGAGCGAGAAGGAGCAGTAGAGTGATATATATACCTGCAAGACTCTCAATTGCCTGGCTTCTTTGTTCTGAGCATTTTGGTCAGCTAGAGATGGATGATTGGTCAACTTGTGAGGATGATTAACTCCACCATCTCTATTGTAACAGTTGTTGCACACATCATAGTCTGGACATACTTCACAGCGCCACCCTTGACCAGTTTCAATGTCGAGGTGACACGCATTGCATGTCGTGACAAAGGCAGGAGCAGTTGGGTTGTGCAGATGATAAAGGACCATCATTGACGAATGTTTTGCCCGCCTCAACGTGTCATACTGATAATGATTCCCTTGACAAAGACTCAGAAACGCTTGCCTAGTGTCGAAAAACTCGCTTTCGAGTATCTCATCTTTGTCCCTCGTATCTGCAGGAATTTCCGTAATCTCAACCTGCACAATCAATACCACCAACATTAAAAAAACCGGGCACGGACAAAGCTAAAGGACTCTATACACAACAAGCAAATGCAACTCACAGGATACAACGCATGTTTATCCTTAAAATTAACAGGATGCCTTTCTCTGTCTTCACGCCTCTGTTCAGCCTCATAACACCTGATAGAATAACAGTTTATTAATCTTATGTACAATACAACAACAACAACAACAACAAAAAGCAAAAGAGAAAGGAAGAGTTTCTTACTTATCACAAATCTGGAAGTGTTTGCACTGGCTGCAGACCCAACGATTCCCAGATACCATCAGCATACAGCAATGTGTGCAAGAAGGTTGCAGGTGGACCATGATAAAGTCTTCCTTCATTGGGTGAATGGTCTCACCAAGCTGGAAACGCAGGTGAATATAATTAACAAGAACAACGACAACAAAAAAAAAACAAAAAGGTAACAAAATGCATAGAAAGTAATAATCACTTTATGCATTAGCAGCAGATCCTTGGATGCATTCCCAGATAGATCAGTCTGCCCAGAAGCTTTTAGAGCCCTTTTTGTAATTGTTTTCTTGAGCATTCCTTTTTTATTGCCCTTTCTTCCATCTTCTTCTTGGCTCATTTGGTATATAAGATCCTCTGCTGCACCTGGCCAGTAGTCACCATCGAAATATGGGAGCCTAGCTGCCGTAACCTTAGCTCTACATTCACCAGTTTGCATGAAAAAATGGTCATAGAGATTTATAGTTTCTGCAACAATGCCCTCCTTTGAAGCTTTTTTCAACATTGCTAAGTACCTGCGGAAGAACAACATGAGCAATTGGCTTATGTAACTGACTTTTTCATACAAGAGCTCGTGAAGTTTATCCAAAAAGGTAACTGAACTCACCACTCTCGTAGTTTATCAGACTTTGGCGTCTTCTGAATTTCTGGATGACAATATAAGATATAGTCCTCGCCCTTCAGCGGCGGACAAGCCCAGATGTAGCAGCTCGTGAAGCCACGCAACTTGCAGTATTCTAGGTAACCGATCTAAACACAAAATATCAATCATACACTTAATAAGCAACAAGAAACACAGATGCTGGTTTATAACCAAATTTTGAAGAAGACTAGGACTTACCAAAATTTCGTGGTAAACAAAAGTACGCAGTGCCTCTCCGTTGTAAGATCTAACGTCAGGTCTGAAGTACTTTACAGAATCCAAATACGATAGATAAACTCGGCGTTGATTCGGAAATGCGCACTCAGAGCCAAATTCTTGAACGTACATTCCAAATAAGCATACTTCAACACCTTCGATCTTTTGGAACAACAGAACAACCTGGCAAAATAAAATGGCGTGGAGAGTGAGAAGGACATTTCAAAGAGCGGAACCACGAGTAAAATAATGCATAAATGCACGAGATACAACAATAATGAGCCTTGATCATTCTTACCTTGGACTTGTATGCAAATTCTGTTGGGTAATTGTCTTCCCGGAAAATTTCAAGAAATCGGGATTTGACTTCCAGCTTCTTGTCAACAGATGAAACAACTCTAATCACAAGGGATTCGGCAGTAGGAATCTGCAAGTATAAGAATAAACAATTGACAACTTCAATCTACTGTTTCCAGTAAAGCCGCAGATGCGAATACACATGAAAGACATAAGACCTTAACAAACTCCACCACTAGATTACCTCATCAAAACTTTTTCCTTGAACCCTGGCTCTCTCTGTTCTTTCCTGCTTCAGCCTCTTAAACAACCGCTGCTCTATATGGTCACTAAGAATTGTTCTCGGTAGATCTTTAGCTCCAAGAACAGCACTCTGAGGTAAAGGCTTCCTCTTACTTTGCTCCACTTCTGCTATAAAGCAATACGGGCACGTATATTCAGCTTGCCCTCCGTCATTCCTTCGCCCATTAAATAAAGCACATATCTGATGCTGCCATGCCTCACATTTATCACACTGGACCCACTGCAAAAAATCATAGGTGGAAACAGAATATAGAACTTAGTCACAAAAGCCATACAAAAACAGAACAAATCTACAGAGTGGACAGTCTTTTACCCATTCTTCAGTCTCTTCATCATTTTTCTTTTTCTCGAGTCTTGCCTTAGGAATAGGCGTCCCTTCAGCGAGTATAGTGTCCCCACGAGATTCATTATAACATGGAATACAAAAGTAATGACGAGTGTCACCAGCTCCTACGGTGTAATACATAGCATTTCTCTTGATACGGGCACCGCAAGGGGTACAATAAATAGGTGGTGGCTCAAAGGTAAGCTTCTCCACTGCACATAATTGGCAGGAATTCTCACTCATTGAATGCTCCATTGCCTGATTCTTTTCTGCTTTGGCTTTACTCTGCAAGCACATGAAGGACAACAGATTAGTCATTGATCAAATATCGTTCAAGATAATTAATCAAGTTATTGTGAAAACATCGCAAGTCAAGAAAAATTCACAAACCTGGCCAACCCACTGACGGAGACCGCGGATATGTTCTCTCACTTGTTCAGGAGTGAACAATTCAGTTAATGACACACCCTTTATCTCTGGTTTTCCAGATTTTGGTATAGGTTCAACAGACTCTGCCAGATTTTCTTTTTTAAATGGCTCAGGTTTCTTCTCCATCTTGATATTCTCTTGCCGAGGTGAGATATCAGACGAATCTTGTTTAACAAGTTCACTGACAGCTCTTTGCTTGGGAATTTCTTCAGCAATTCCAGTTTTTGTCTCTTTGAAATCAGGCCGTGTCTGAACAGAAACTTCAGAAATCTCAGCTTTCACTTCATAATACTTTGAAGGTGCACGTCCATCACTGTGCCTATGATCTTTTCTTTCAGCGTACTGAGATGATTGTACTATCTCGATTTCTCTCAGTTTACAACTTTCCGTGGCAACGTCCACAGGCTGAGAAGACTGCTCCACCTTCAACCGTTTTAATGAAGGTTGCAAATGAACTGAAATATCAGCACCAGGCGAAGCACAAGATATTGCTCCAGCAGAGGTCTGTACTGCATCATTTAACATTCCAGCTCCATTCACTGGCTTTGCTGCACCGCTTTCAGTTTTCAAACGAGCTTGAGACCGTACAATAGCCTGTTGCTGTACGTAGTTCTTCACAGGAATACAGACAGGGCAGTTGGATTCCTTACAAGTTCGATGGTGATTAATCAATGTCTTTGTGGGGAGGCAACGAGGAAATGAACATTGAGGTGCAGAACAACTGTCCATATGTTTCCAGAGCTTCTGAACCGTAACGCAATTCCGGTCAGGACACGTCCCTTCAGGCGCTTTGCAGTGGCGAGC